GAAAAAAACCATTCAAGAATGTGAGTTTTTTAATTTGCTCCTACTGAAACAAATTCCGCAACTAGTCACACTTGTAAGGTGACAAGTCAACTAAAAATTAGCAAAGGAAAATATGCAAATTTAATGCTGGAACGACCGGCACTAGATTGCTGCCTTCGATGCACTTTTGACAGATTCAGTCAACGCGATAAATTCTTCACTCACAAATTGGAAGAACAAACTGGAGTGTTTACTCTAGAGTTTACATTAATCTCAACAAAGACATCGTGAATGGATAAATTGCACACGTCACATATGTGTGACGCTGGCAACATATATTGAGAGGTGCTCCTACTCACCTTTGTGCCGAGAAGCATGATGCACTGATCAAAGTGGTGATGCTCCAGAACAGAGGTGGAGTAGAGATTAACCAAGGGTGACATGGTGCGAATTTGGAATTGGTTGTTGGTACCCCGATGGTCAAGGTCGTGTGAGAGGCAGGCGATGATGATGGAAAGGCATTCAAGCTCACTGAATACCGCTTCCATTCCGCCAGACTGCAGTGAAGAAGAGGAGGTGTTAGTACTGCTAAATCTACTAGCATACTTGTAGTGAGGCTACCCTCTGACTCATATGTCCCGTTCCAAAATTAAGGGCTAAGCGCACAATACTCAAGACACTTCCTGTCGAGACGTGGCCTACGCTGTTGGTGAGACTGACTCCTTTTAAGGACCACTCTGATTTAATGTAAAAAAGGGGAAAAAATAGTCTAGACTGTATCAAAAATGATCAGTGTGCATTCTTTCAGACCAAACATCCAAGTGCCAAAGTCCGAACAAAAGGCTACAAAATCAAGTCTTTTTACCGACAAAACATCGAACTTTGACCCATGGGCAGCAGTGGCATTAACAAAGACGTGTTGGATTAAAGGGACGAGGGAAAGAGATTTTTAGTACATAAAAATCACTGTTAAACCAGTTCAGAGAAGCCAGTGGACCTTTATTTGCTGTGAACAAGTAAAAGCTTTAGGTTGTGCTCAAATACTGCTTAAATAGAGTAGAAAATGTCAGTAGTATCTGAAGTAAGTTGCTACTCAATCAAATAAATGGCTATTACACCCAACTCCTTAACTCAGGCACGTCCTTGATGGCTGAAGCAGAAGATTCGTCGATGCAAAATACGAGAGACAACTCTCAAAGGCCTCCTGAAGCCAATTGCAATAACTTTGGGACTAACCCCAGAGTCGCGAGCTTCCAAGTCTTTCACATGTCAAAAAGAACCCACCTTAAACATGACAAACATCGTTTGTGCTACGTTGAAGGCATGTCGCCAGTTGTGGTAGGTGACGGAACGGTAGTTCTTCTTCACCGACATCAGCCATCGGCATAGGACGTTGTAGTCGATACGAAAACGATTGATGAATTGCATGTCGGAGAACATTCTAATACACGCCTTCAGGGTGTCATCCACTGACAAGCTGGAACAATAAGAGACACGAAAATGGTCGCGTAAAAAATGAATAGTGTTTTGTTGACCAAACACTAGAAAAAAAAGGCCACAGTGAGAAAAAATGCGAATTTTCGGGATAAGAGAAACGGCAGTCAGTCGACTTTGAAAAAACAAAACAACTGCAAGACCTGCATGGAAGAGACGCAAGAAAAGCGACCACTTCGGTCAAATTTGCCCATGACAACCGGCAAGTGCATCACTTTTACTTATGGTTTACTCATAATGGCTCTTTAAATATTTCCTTCGACCATTCCAAAGGAGAGACCAGTTGTCTAACCCCACTACGCCCTCACTAACCACCGTAGCGATTGGAAACTGTCCTTTTTAGTTTGTATGTCATTGTTTCATGTTAAGAAACGGATCAGTGGGTCAATCGGGTCAATTGTATTTTGCTAGTTGTGCTCAGACCTCCTGCTGACCCACCATGACCCGGCGCTGTTAGTCACTGTACCAGCAGAAGCCTTCGCTTAAGGTATCCGGGCTGTTTTCTACACGGATGTCCCGATGGGACCGCCAGTTTCGGTGTTATGGACAAATCAAAAAAAACTCTAGTCATTAGTTTTTGGTGTTGGTTGAATTCGTATGTCACGTGCAGAGGACAAACGCTTACCGTCACGTCAAACCCAGCGTGGATTAAATTTTTGCAACTAGCTAAAGCGATTAGGTATAAACTGACCAACGACGTGGACGCCTAGCGGGATATCCTAACGCCCTATTTCACCATTGTAGCATGCAAAATGAAAAGTATCGGATTGACTTAAACAAGGATTGAAGATACCTCACGTACTAGATATCAGTGAAGCTGAATTGATTAAGACGGTAGTATTTCGCGGAGGGGATAAGTTCTTTGCTGAGAGCAGCCGCCTCAGTCGATGTCGCAGTGGCGTGATAGGAGAGGACGTCGAAAGCGATGCGTTGTTTGGCTTCAGCTCTAAGCACCTGTTCGTACATCTGAGTGTTGGCAATGCCAAGACCAGCAAACAAAGCGAAGGCTTCAAAGAGAGCCTCTTCATTGCGAGAAAAGACACCGGACCAGCTTTCTTTGCGCTCCCAGGCCGTGGCAGCCATCTCGGCCTGGGACAAGGATGAGGTGGTGGAATGACAGGTGAAAGAGGACTTATTCACCATTTGGCATACGCCAAGCACACGACCGTCTGAATGCTTAATCGGCATGCAGAGAATGGAACGTGTCCGCCAAACCGTATCCTTACAGTCAATCTGCAAGGCAAACCACACAACCACCCACGATATCCTGACCCCTTCAGTTCACTTTTGATTGACATACTCGTTTCTAATTAGGAAGGGGGAAAGGAAATCTTGGCAGGCGTGTTCAAGTCACGAACGAGTTTCTTGCCCACCAACACCAACACAACGCGTGGGTATCCACTGCACTCCTCTAACCGTAAGTTCCACTTTCTTACACTCAACAGTCAGTCATCTGACTTACTTCGCGTGTCAGTGACATTATCTACCATGGTGATTCCACTTCCTCCTCACAGATCGCATAGCAACAGACCTTCCGGTGATCTTTTAACCAACGGGTGGGGTACTGGCCTCGACGTCTGGTTTACAATTCACCACTTGCCGCTCATACATAACCAGTCGTCCATTTTCACGAAATTACGTAAAGGTGGAACAAAAGTTATTGTCAACCCTCCAAGTACAGTCAGCTTTCTGCGGCACAAACCTTTTTCCAGGTAAGACTTACATCTTCCACTATTTTTAAAAGAACGCCTTGACAATGCATTTGACGGGAGCTGACTACATCAATCCACCTCGAAATCTAACGCAGCAGCATGGCAGTGGAAGGAATGAGCACACACCACCAGTTCGGCACCAATGAAGAGGTGAGGCTGGCCAACCGAAGATATTTCTGTTGAATTTGATCAACTCCTCTTCATTCAATATCCATTTTAGCCTCCAATTCGCAAATACAAACTGTATTTAATTGTGTCCTTGATATACTTCAATGCATGGATGTCTAATTCCAAATATTTGTCTTTTTAAATAAAAAAAAAAGTGGAAAACTTACCGTTGGATCGAAGCGAGGGTCATCATTCGCATCGAGAATATTTATGGTCTGTAAGTAAAAAGATGAGAGAATAATTTAGTGGATGCTGTCAGTTCCCTTGTACACATAAAATAAATTCGTTATTCAGCATACATGGAAATAAAATGAGGAGTTCCGTACGATTTGTTGAGGACTATGTTTCATTAGGAGCAAATTAGAACAAGCTAACTTGTACTATTTTAAGATGCGCATTTGGCGCCTCTCGTTAGACATCAAAGTGTTTAACCGAAGTAAAACCAACCACGAAACAGGCGAACATAGTCATGTGATAATGTCTCATTACGGGAAAGAAGGCATTCAAATTTAACATTTTGACGAGGTTTAAGTGTAAAATCAGTTGTTGGCAAAAGGTGTGGAAGGAAACACCGCATTCGATAATGATGGAACTTTCAACAGAGACCGACATGACATGAAATGTGCAAAATGAAGTGACATGTAAGGGCCTAGGAAGTGCAACCACTGCTTTGTGTGCGGTAGAAAGCAGAACATTTGCTTTGGTCTATCGATGTGGTATCGTCCATCAGACTATACGTTCCTTTCCTCGTACTCTTCACACATCACCAAATGATAAGTTTTGCCCTCAACGTGGTGCACGTGATTCAAACCCATCCATACCACGAAACGAGTTGAAGTGGTTCACATGGATGAGGCAGAAGCTCCTCACGAAGCGACCCATGAAGCATTTGGAGAGAGCGTATTGTGTGGTATGCGATGGCGGAACAATGCAATGCACTACGGAGACGAAGTTGTCAACAGTGATTGCAGTGGCGACTCCCTGCACAACAGACGCATCACATCACTCACGATTCCCTGACATGGGTGATGCAACATCAGGTGGTGGGATGGGAGAGTGAAGTTGTGAAGCCAGTGGAACAATGCTTGCCATGTGGCGTGTGCAGAGAGATGACCGTGCCAAGCTGCACGACCGCCAACATGTCGCTCTGTCCGCTACTGCTTCCATTTACACTTACCGGTCGTCACTCAGACTGGTGATGAGAGGTGACTGGCGCATTTCACCAGAAAGTGGCAAACTATGTCACTGTTAGCCTCCAAAAGATGTGTTCGCTGTCAAGCATTTCTGTGGCACGCATCAGGGTCCTGTGCCTGCCTCGTGGATGATTGGTTCACTGTGCACGCAATTGTGCATCACCCATATGCCGGTGTGAAAGCGAACAGTTACGGTGGAGTTTTGTCTACTTGCCATGGTAGAAATGGATTATGTGGGAGAGAGTCACTCCCTTTTCCCTTCCTCCCTCCTTTCCATTTCCTCGCTTTCTTTTTTTCAAATTAAATTTCCTTCTCCCCCTCCTTAGCAATACCGTTAACTCCATCCTTCTCCTCTTTCTCCTTCTCAACTTTCCTCGTCCTGCTTTGTTAGTTATTCTTCTCCAACTCGACACAAGCGAGTAGATTATCACTTTGGCATGCTAGAAAGGCAGGAACAGGGTAGGTAGATAGGGGGTCAGGGAGGAAGAGAGAGAGGGCGGGAAATGGTGTGGAAGTGTGGGAGACACTGGTTCATCCTTATCCTGCTCCTCCTTCTCACCCTCCTCCCCATCCTCTTCCCATCCTACACACTCGCATTACCCTCACATTCCTCCATATGCATTGCATCTGCGTATCTCCA